AACAAACTTATCAAACTAATTGACGAAAGGAACCAATTATATCAAGACCTGAAACAAAAACCTGATGATGCTCAATTGAAGAATGAGTTTAAAAAGAAACGTAGTATTACGTACACATCAATTCAAAGTGCGAAAAATCAATATTACAATAATGCTTTTAAAAACTGTAAGAAGCATCCGTTAAAAATGTGGCAACTTATCAATAGACTATCCAATAACAAAGTCGAAACTAGCTCTGGGCCGTTGGCACTCAATTCTGGTACAGGACGTATCACAAATATTAAAGAAATTTGCGAATGCTTTAATTTGTTCTTCTCTACAATAGGTAGTGAACTAGCTAACAAGATATCTCAAGACGTTCATACCTATCACCTAACATGTGCACCTTATAAAAATAATTATGACCAATATTCAAAATTTAAACCAACAACTTCATGCGAAGTAATTAAAATAATCAATAATCTTAAAACAAATACTAGCTCAGGTATAGACGGTATTAGTACGAAGGCTATCAAATGTATTAAAGATCTTATAGCACAACCTCTTGCGAACTGCATTAATACTTGCCTTATTAATGGTTACTTTCCAAATTCCCTCAAAATTGCTAAAGTTAGGCCTATATTCAAAACAGGTAATAAAATGGACCCCAGCAACTATAGGCCTATATCCGTGCTACCAGTACTATCTAAGGTTTTTGAAAACATATTATATAACCGTTTGAATCAATACTTAATAGCCAAAGACTTTCTTTTTCAAAAACAATATGGTTTCAGAACAAAATCCAACACTACATCCGCAACCTTAGACCTAGTAACAAATATAAGATTGAGTATTGATCAAGGGATGATAACATTAGGGGTTTTCATCGATTTAAAGAAGGCATTTGATACCGTTAGCCACAAAATACTTTTATTAAAACTAAAAGATTTGGGTGTTGCTGGCGCAGGTTATAACATTCTCAAATCATATCTCTTAAATAGGTCTCAAGTTGTTAAAATTGATAACCATCAAAGTGAACCAAGATCCGTCACATGTGGCGTGCCTCAGGGATCAATATTGGGCCCTCTACTTTTCTTAGTTTACATTAACAGTATACATGCAATTGGACTGAGAGGTGATATCACTTTGTACGCTGACGATACTAGTTTATTTTATTCTGGTCGTTCAATAGATACGATAGTTGATCAAGCACAACACGACCTAAATATGTTAAATGTCTGGTTAAACTTAAATTTATTAACTATCAATGCCTCAAAAACTCACTACATCATATTTTGTGCTAAAAACAAACAAATTGGTAACTACAACCCATTAATCATTAATGGTGAAAGAATTGGTAAAGTTTATGAAGAGAAATACTTGGGCTTAATATTAGATCATAGACTTGCGTGGAAGCCACACATTGATAAAATACGAAATAAATTAACGTCATTGTCTGGCGCTCTTCGACCCATAGCTCGATGCTTACCTCGAAACGTAAAATATACTGTCTATAACTCTTTGGTAAAATCACACATTGACTACCTGATTGAAATCTGGGGCACGTCAGCAAAGAGCAACCTAAAACAATTACAAACCTCACAAAATAAACTGATCAAAATATTGTTTCGATATGATTACTTAACACCCACCGTAAAAATCTACAAAGAAACAGGCATAATGAACCTTGCTCAAACACATAAATACAATATCATCATATTTATTAGAAAAATCTTGACGAAAGACATCCACTCACAGTTAACATTTACAAAAAAGATAGACAGCCACAAACGTGTAACTAGGCGAGCCAATAACATCTGTCTGCGAATGCCTAGGACAAATTACGGCAAAAAGAGTATTTTATATGAAGGGGCCCAAAGCTACAATAAGTTACCTAAAGATATAAAAGAAGCTAAAACATTAAACACATTTAAAAAGTTATTAAAAAGCCACATTTTAAGGGATGTCTCACTGATAAGATAATGAAAGTAGCTTTGTTTAAATTTTGATGTGTAAATATTATTACTAATGAATACCATATCTAAACTATACATATGTTAAGTATATGTATACGTATACGAAGTAATTATATATAATAGTATATAATTCCTATACTAATACAAATTTACACATATTTTTATTAATATATATATATATATATGTGTGTGTATATGTATGTATAAAAAAAAAAAAAAAAAAAAAAAAAAAAAAAAAAGATTGGCAATATTATGTATAGAACACTACATACAATATTCTGGGATGCAATTTACAACGCTCCTATGTCTAGTCTAAATATACATAAAAGCAGTAGGTACACTCCGCTTATATAATTATATAACATATTATTTACTTATAAAACATTTTACATTGCTGGTGTCACTATAATAAGAAATAAAATGTTTGACATCAATCTACAGGTACGTGTCACTAAGACATAGGCCTTAACAAACATGCATTCTTTTGTGCACCAACATTCTTGAACTCACAGCTGTATAGAAAGTATTTAATCTACCCTACTCACAAAAAACTTTTCACAACTACCTTACTAACTAACTACGCTAATTAAGTAATATATTTTTGTTTAGTATTGTATTCTTCTCTGCAAGTGATTTATTGTAATCTTTTGAGAAAAATAAATGTCTTTAACCGTAAAAATAAATAAATACATAAAAATGATTTTGTTACTTTACTCATAATAAATGTATGGGAAGTGCCCGATGTTTCGTTTTCGAACAATTAAAAAAAAGGTACATAACCAATTCCGACCTTCATGAAACTAGTTATAACGTTATTAGTGATTGATTACCACAAACATATCCAAAATTTAGTAGAATCGGAAGTTAAATAGTTCTGGGCATATATGGGTGTTGATCGTTTTCGAATCAGGGGGCAAATATAGGTTATCGACTCGTTCACCAAGTACGTCTTATTATTTCCCACAGCCAATATCGATTCTAAAAGTAGCATTAAAGCTTTTAAGGATGGTGTAGCGCTATTTGGTGCTCCGACTCGAATAATAGCGGATCAGGGACGTCGTTTCGTGAGTAAAGATTTTAAGGAGTTTTGTGATATTGAGGAGAGTACTTAAGTTTGCGTGATGATTGGACCGTACCAGAGGTTGACGTGTAGCCGTAGCTCAGTAGAAATCGGCTATGTAGTCCGTGAGTACGCGGTAAGCAGTCAACTCTGGCGGAGGTCGGGTTTCAGTGAAAACCATGGAGTCCTGGAGAGATTCGGCGTTCCCATGAGGGGTTCGCACAACAATGAGTAACTGGAGGTTACTGGGCTATGTATAGCAAGATATCATATGCAGAGCTTAAGTATTTCGGTTTACCTAGTATGATTGATGTCTCTTGTGAGACAACGTGAAATCAAGTCAGTTTTGTTTTGAGTGTATCGATTATTGTTTTTATTACTATTATTTTAAATTTGATAATAAACTCTTTGGTTTAATGTTAAGAGTTTTGCTTTGAACTTCTCTCGATTGATTACTGGTGCGATGTCACGAGAGACTGAGCTAGGCGATCCTGCTTGTTGAATGTTGTTTCAGAGTAACACACAGAGACGTGCATCCCGTAGGATGGCCGTGTCGGAACGGTCAATAGTACGGCAGCTGATTTGACAACGAGGCGCAAGCGGTGAAACGTCATCGCTTCGGCAGAGTCTATATAAGTGTTCGCGCGGGGCGAGCGGAGCACACTCACCGATCGACCGCCGCGCGGACAACAAGTCTAAGAACTATCTTACGACTCATTGTTTAACCTTTAAGTTACCTACTTGTTATTAAAGATTATTTGTTTGTACCTACTTTGTTTTCTGCTCGAGAACACCACACGACCCACACAATATGTATACGGGAGAAGGCAACCGCCCCAACAAACACCCTTTGTCGACATATATTATATAAAAATACTACGCGTAATATACATTTACGCGTAGTATTTTTATTTAACGGCTTTATGGTGTTGGAGTAGCTACATTCTTAATAACAGAATGCTGATCTACAAGAAAGTTAGTGTTTTAACAGCACTTTTGAGTACAAAAATCAGTTGACGACAATTTAGTTTTGTAACTTACAGAAAAAAAACGGTCAGGTACGAGTCAAACTCGTTTTATTTTACGTAGATTTAAAAAAATATTTTTTTAAAAATAGTTGAAAATTGAGGTAAAATTTGGTACTTACAAGTTTTCCGTAGGTAAGTAAATAAGTAGTCCGTGTAGTGACGGATTAAGAATACGGAATGTCACTACCCCAATTCATCCCGTGGGTGTCGTAAGAGCCGACTAAGGGCGCAAAACAACGCAGGACACCAGCACTGCAAAAAGAAGGAAAACTTGACACAAACCCTATACCAACCCGTCTGGCCAGCGTGGTATAGTAGGCCAAAACCTCCTTTCTAAGGAGAGGCCTATGTCCAGCAGTGGACTATTAAAGGCTGTTGATGTGATGATGTGAAGTTTTCGCGAAAATCGAAATTTGCCCATATCTTTTTATTGTGTTGACTCAGGAACTTGTTTTTTATACACCTAATAGGGTCCATAGACCTCAGTATCTGATATAAATTTCAACTTGCTAGGTCTTCCTGTTCCTATGGAAATCGGTGGTGACACTCGGACAGACGGACAAGAAAGCGATCTTATAAGGGTTCCTTTTTTACCTTTTAAGGTACGGAAACCTAATTACAGCGAAAAGAAAACTAAGGGCTCTTAGTCCCTTTTTAGGTTATGAAATATAGTTAACTGCGTTTTTGAGTTGTACACATATGAAAAAATAATATATAACGGCATTCTAACTATCTTTATGTCGAGAACAAAAACAGATAAAAATAAACCGTAAACACAGATCGATAGAACTTTTTTTCAGATTAAGGTGGAATTAAAAACTTAATATCGACCTGATGTGGGTTAACGGCATTATAGTCTATGCACGGCAGCACTTTTTTCGTCGAGATCGTAATTTTTGGAGATCGTCGATACTTAGAGAGGAGTTAGGTCTCTAGGTTTAAAATGAAACCAATATACTAAAACAATAATATTATGTATTTGATAAAGAAGTAACCCGATGAACAGATCCACCATAAGACGTAAGCATACAAAGCCATCAAAATTGTGTCTAGTACTGCAAATATTTGTTGTTTTCTATAAGCTAATTTGGTCCCTGTGAGGCCGTCTTTCAAGATAAATTTTCTAAGGCCAATGCCCCATACTAGGATATAATCTTCTAAGTCAACGTCAGATAGATTGCAGTTGTATATAGCCCTGTCAGCATCATTCATTCTGCTCATCATAGTTTCAACGTTGTCTTCTCTAAAAGTAAACGCGTTTCGTGTAAAATATTCATATACAACAGATAGTTTGTTAACTTTCCCGTAAAGATCCACGAATCTGAAAGAAATCAAACACATATTATTTTGTCATTTACTAAGTGGGCAGGCAATAAGAGGGGTCCAAGTGTCTTAATAACGATAGTGCCGGGATACCTCCTATTTCAAGCGCAGAGTGACACACCTGTGGTTTAGTCGGCCCGATTCCGAAACACCATCCCACCGCTAACCCCGGTGAGGTGGCGGCCCGAAACGGAAAAAATGCTTTGTGTCAAATTAAGATTTTAAAACACTTACCCGATTTCAAAATTTATCATACCAATCGTAAGCCACATTATCAGCGAGTAACATAGGCTACTTTTTACCGATATAACCGACATGCACGCGGCGGAGCCGCGGGAAAAAGATAGTGTGTATATAATGTTGGAAATTATGCAATCATAGACTAAGTGTTTAGTGCGTTATCTTAATTATGAAAATAAAAATATACTAACGAAGAAATTCCTTGTGGTTTCTTTCCGCTTACAAAGCAGGCGAAATCCAGGATATAAGCTGGTATGTATAAGAGAAACCAGGACAGAATATCATATAGCAGTCTACTCTTCACTTCCAGCATACCGCTTCTCCACACCATTTTTGGAGTGGAAAGCCTCTTTTTTTCCTTGTACGACGTATCCTGAATGAAACCTGAAATCAATCAATCAAAAAGGAAAAATTAGAGAATTATAGACGAGTGGCTTGAGAATGTTTTTTTTTTTTATGTAATAAGGGGCAAACGAGCAGGGGGTCACCTGATGGTAAGCAAATACCGCCGCCCATGGACACCTGCAACTCATAAGTCACGATTAATGCTGGCGGTGACAGGTTTCGTCCGATCTGTCCGACCAGGGCTCGACGTTCGGACTCCCATGCAGGGCAGTCCTCCAGAGTATGCTGGGCGGAGTCCCGGTCGGACCCGCAATGGTGGCATTGTGCCGTGGCCTCCCGTCCAATTCGATTCAGATACTCACCGAAGCAACCGTGCCCGGTAAGCATCTGAGTCAATCGGTAGGTGCCACAGTCGTTCCTCCCTACCCACGCTTCGAAGCTCGGCAGAACGGCTCCGACGGCGCGTTGGCTGGCACAGCCCTGGATTACAAGCCGTGCCTGCCACGCTCGCAGAGCCTGGGTATGCGCGTTCCGCCGTAGCATTCCGGGCTCATGATCCGGCGCGGCCTCCTCACCATTCCGACCGACAGAACGGACTTGGTCATAGACCATCGCGTCCATGTCGGCCAGAATGTCGAAGGGTGGATATCGCGCCAGGACCGTCGCCGCCTCAAACGAGATGGTACGATAATCCCGTACGACCCGTATGGCCATCAACCGCTGTAGGCTTCTGAGTAGAGCCTTGCAGCGGGAGGCACCCGCCAAGTCATTAGACCAGACGGGCGCCCCATAGAGGACCATGGATCGCACGACCCCCATATAGAGACGGCGAACTTCTTCCCGTGGTCCCCCGAGATTGGGCAGCAGGCGATGCAGTGCACCCGCTACCCCGCGCACTCGGGGGACTAATCGCACGAAATGCTCTTCGAAGCTCCACCGACTGTCCAGGATGAGGCCTAAGTACTTCATGTACCGGCCCACCTGGACTTCAGCGTCACCCACCCGGAGGCATGAGCTTTGTGGTTCCTGGCGCTTACGTAGGCCATGGAACCATATCGCCTCAGTTTTCTGAGGCGCCACGTTCAGACCCAGCTCATGAATCTTTCCCACGACACAAGCCACCCCATGACAAATGCTGTATTTACTAGTATAAAAAACTGTAAAGAGGGTTTAAGCTTACCTCTGCAAATTATATTTCAAAAACTTCTAAATATTTTTTTGTATTCAAGTAAGTTTGTAAGAATCAAATGAACACAATCGTGTACCAACTATATAACAATTATGCTATGGAAGAGCGGAGTCTCCTAATACAGGCATTATTTTCTTAAAAGGAAGCTCCAATCACGAATATTTTTAACCGACTTCAAAAAAAGGAGGAGGCTCTCAATTCGACTGTATTTTTTTTAAATGTTTGTTACAGAACTTTTGACTAAGTGAACCGATTTTGATGATTCTTTTTTTATTTGAAGCTGGTGCTTCAATTTGGTTCAGTTCTGATAAGAGCATCCATGAGAAAACCATATAAGTCTTAAATTTGCATTCAGTATGTTCGCGACAAACAGTCGAATAACTCAATATCACGGAAACCGATTTTGATGATTCTTTTTATGTTGAAATGGATGTACTTTAAGGATACTTTGATGAGAGTTTGGTTAGATTCTGATCACGGGATCCACGACAAAGTAACGGAACTCTTCAATTCTTAGGAACAAATAAACGATACTCGGCTGAATCTTTTATAGACTATCCGGATATTTGAGTCACCTACAGTAACGTGGTCCGAGTCGACGTTATGGTCAGGTAATTGTTGTCATCAATAGCCATTACTAGTCCACTGCTGGACATAGGCCTCTCCTCTCTCCTCTAGTCGCGTAGGTATAGGGTTTGTTTCAAGTTTTCCTTCTCTTTGCAGTGCTGTTGTCCTGCGTAGTTTGCTCTCTCAGTGGACTCTTACGACACCCATGAGATGAAAAGGGGTGGTGACATTCTGTATTCTTAATCCATCACCACAGGGACAGAAACGGTAGTAATTGTCGTAGTCGAATATAACGATCAATGAAACTCGTTAACGGCTTACAGTAAGACGCAGGCCCTCTTATTCCATGGGCCCCGTCGTGGTCCACCCCCTGGCGCCTCAATCGTGGTCAACTCGGTCCTCGTACCGGTTCGGGCCCAGATGAAGTATCTGGGTCTGATCCTCGACGGGAGGTGGCTCTTCGACGAGCACTTCCGACAGCTTGCTCCAAAGCTGGTCGGCGCTGCGTTGTACGGTCGTTACACGGGGGTTGTACGGTCAATGGCACTGTACGGTGCACCGGTATGGGCGGCGGCTCTGACCGCCCAGAATAGGGCACGCCTTTGGCGCCCTTAGAGGGTATTGGCGGTTAGAGCCCCGTGGGATTTGGAGGCGGAAGTACTCGCCGAAGTATATCAGCGGACGGCTGATTTCCGGGCGGGTAGTGGTAGTCGGCCCCCGCCCGAAGAGATACGCGAGTGGCGTGAGGTCGCTCGCCGAGCCACGATGACTCGTTGGTCGTCCCGGCTGGAGGTTCCACGTGCTGCCTTTGCGCCGTGGAGGCGCTCCAGCCAGTTATCGTCGAATGGGCGGGGCGGCAGCATGGGACCCTTCCCTTCCGACTGATGCAGGTCCTTTCCGGGCACGGCTGCTTTGGGAAGTACCTGCACTCGGTCGCTAGGAACGAATTGAGTCCCGCCTGCCACCACTGCGATTGCAGTGAGGACTCGGCCCAGCACACGCTATCAATGTAGCTTGGGCGTCTCAGCGCCGGGTCCTCATTACAGTCATCGGAGGGGACCTCTCGCTACCGGCCGCTACGCTACGCTTCATGGCCGGTAGTGACAGATGTTTTACCGCGGTCGCATCCTTCTGTGAAGACGTCATCTCGCAGAAGGAGGCGGCGGAGAGGGCCCGGGAGGATGACCTCCACTCGGACCCAATTCGCGCCTCATGCCGCTCTGAGTGTGGTTGCGTGTAGACGGGACGGCTTTTCCCCTCCACCCGCTATAATGGCCAGCCGCGAGGAGGTGACGTCCGCGTGTGCCGGACGTCACCTAAATAGAGAATGTACCCGAAGGTGGTGCCCGCACAATTGCGGGCAGGCGCTAGGAGGGGTCGGGATGTCTTAATAACAGCAATTCCCGGATCCCTCCTATTACAGGCGCAGAGTGGCACACCGTGTGGTTTTAGTCGGTCCGATTCCGACACACCACCCCAGTGGGGTGACGGCCCGAGGGGGCTTACACACGTAAAAAAAACAGGTTTGTTACCTTGGCTGACGCCGACTCCAAAAATAACAATAATTGCAACTACATTACATTCATTTCATTTTACTTAGGAGAACTCAAAAAAATCTTTCGATCGTTGTTTGTTATTCATAGGTATATGTTGAGTTAGATTTAAAGTGGGTAGGTACCTACCTTCTTGCGTAGTAAACACATAGATCGTACCTACATATTGATGAGTAGAAAAGGTAAGTTTATTATTAAATTGTAGAAGAATATATGCAGTTATTTTTTTACTTTTTAGTGTTTAGTGTTTTTTGAAGTCGGTTTTTTTTTTGTTAAAAAAATTTACTCATTTTTGGAAACGATATAAAACATTTTATATTTTTTGTATTTGTACTCTACATGATGGTATATTCCCCATGCGATAGAAAATGCTCAGATTGTGCCAATACACAAGAAAGGTACCAAAGCAAACATAACAAACTACAGAGCAATTTCACTGCTTAATAATTTTGGCAAAATACTAGAAGAAGTTGTATACAAAGAATTTTATTTTGCCTCGTAGCACATCGTTAATACTAACCTTTTAGAACTTAGTAATTACATCGTACATAATATGAGTGATGCACAAATTGACGCAATTTATACAAACTTCGTAAAAGCATTTGATCACGTGATCACAAAACGACTTTACAATAGTTTCTAACTGGCTAAAACAATATCGACTAACACTGAACATTGACAAGAGTACAAACATTATCTTTCACTTAAATCATACTTACTCCAGTCACAACGATACACACAACATAAAAGCCTATTCACGCAACAGTACCAGACCATACTTATGTCCAAAATTACAAAGAGTAACGACATAAAATATCTCGGTGTTACTATTGATAAACACCTGACCTTTAACAGACACCTAGAACTTCTGTCCAACAGAATCAGGAAATTAGTAAACATTTTTAAAAACTTACGACATATAGCTGATGAAAATGTGATAAAAACTACTTGTCTATATAATTTGAATTTAAGGTCAGATTTACTCACCATATCGTAAATTTTTCGCAATAGTGTAAATAGGAATTTCAGTTTCGCCATTTTTTCGCCTCTCTGACGAGTCCCAAGCAGCAGCTATGATAGTGTTGTTCACATAATCAACAGGAGCAATAGCTAAGTCAGAATTCACATCAGCGCAGAATAGACGAAGTACACCCAAACCTCCTCCAAGGTATATCTAAAACAGATGTCATAAATATATATTGTTGAGGTAAGAGCAGACGGATCATCTGACGATGACTTTAACCGCCCATTGTAACCTTCACCTCAAGAGACACGAGTGTATTGCGGCCTTTAGAATATTCCCAAGAATTAGGTACTTCGGCGAAAAACAATAAAAAACGGCGTACGGGGTCTGTGGACACCCGGTCGGAACAAAGTTTCTTTCGCTTTTTTGTAGACGTTTGCTATGACTGTATAGCAAACGTAACAAAAAAAATATGTGTTATAAAATATCAAGAAATAGTTAAATTGAAAAAAATATCATAAAATATATTTCACATCACACATCAATAGCCTTTAATAGTCCACTGCAGAACCGTCAGGTTCGAGACGATGAGCAGAGACCGGATGGTATCACGTTGCTGTCATGGAAGATGGGTAAGCGGCAGGCCATTAAATACCAAAACTTGGTAGGGAATTACTTTTTTGAACCGTTTGGGGTTGAGACGAGACGTCTTTTGGGGTTGAGATGTCGCACTCGGACTCTAAGACCCTAGGTCATGGAGTGCGAGTGCTCGTGCTATTTATAAAAAACTAGCTAAGCAACTGATCGACACTTCTCGTGATCAAAAAACTAGCCTTTTTCTAGCACAGAGAATTGGCATTGCCATTCAACGTGGCAATGCTGCCAGTCTTCTGGGAAGGCTACCAGTAGGCGATGATGTGGAGGAATTTTTTTTAAGCTTGTATGTAAATATTGTGAATATTTTAGTTGTATTTTAATATTTTTTAGTTCGTTTATAAAAGCCTATTCATATTCATTTAACCTTGATATTTTAAATAAACACACAATTATCTGAGAGACAAAATACGGAAGTACTGCCACAGACGATAAGTAAATCTAAACTATTTTGAGAAATGGGTACTTACTCCACTGGGTCCGATAATTGTATGCTCATCTAACCAACCGGGGGCTGGCTCGTAGTATGCTGGCAGTACTGCAAAAATTAGTTATATAACTAAAACTTACGAAAAAGTCACGTGACGGTCTACCGTGAAGGAGTCGCTTGGTCCAATAATTGGATATGTACGTTTTGAGGCGTTTTTTGAGATGGGAAAAAACAATTAAACTGGCGACACTGTTACCGTTACCGACACGTATGTATATAAGTTTTTACTTCTGTCGGCTGTCCTGGAGTGCCACTGTCTTTTTTTTTCGGTGTAAGGGGCAGTCGAACAGATGGGTAACCTGATGCCAAGTGACTACCACTGTCCGTGGACACCTGCAACTTAAGAGATACAAGTTTGTTTGGCGCCCTTTGATTACCTTGGTGAAAGCTACCAAATAATTCCTTACTACCGGTTTTCTGTACCGGTACAAGTTTAAATTATAACAAGTGCTGGTAATCAGGACCATTCCTTTATATCACTTTGTATTGACGTAGAAGTCTATAGGTAAACGGCAAAGTAACAGACCAGACATAAGCCGGGCTCTAACCCAAGAGGTACGTAAACTACTACTGGGTTCTTGGCTATTTCGGTTTAAAGCTCCACCTTTTTTTTCATTCAGCACCATCATGCAAGAGGTTCATAGATATATACTGTATGAATTTTTTTTAGCCACGTACGTCCTTTCAGCCCATAAGATTATAAGGGAGAATTGGAGACAGTATTGGTATTGGTATTGATTGTGGGCTCCGATTTCCGCATTTAGACTCGAGAGTGGTCCTTTATGCGTATAGAAGATTTTGGTTGGCTAGGTGAGCCAACCAAGCTCCTTCCAGAAGCGCAGAAGCCTCCTGGTACGTTCACAGGCTTCTAGGAGCGATTTTGTACCAGGTATGGTACTTGCCCGTTGTGTGGCCACTTCCCCGCATTCCAACATTGCGTGGGAGGCCGTCTCTTCTGCTTTCATTCATCTTCTGCAAAGAGGTTAATGGTGAATAGTTGTTGGTTCAGGGGTAGGTGTCCTGTTATGGTTTCTACAACTATTCGGATATCTAGTCTGCTGTGACTGATCAGTCTGCAAGGAAGCCGTGGTTAGACTTCAGTCAGCACCAGTTTGGACTGTCTGCAGCCCGGTGAGTTTTACCACCTTCGATCGAAGTTGGTTAAAAGGCAATGGCAGGAGTGTGGTTGGGCCCTCTCATCTGCAGCGTCATTCCCTTGTGAATTACTGTGCCTTTTGATCCATTGGTGGAGTACCCCATTTGCTGTGGCAATTGAAGACAATATACTATGCTAACTAGTCTTCTAACGGCCCGATTTGAGAAGGTTTTTTTATTTTTAAAGTTAAACTTATGAAGCTCAGTACTATC